TGACAGCGCTGGGTTCTGTTGACAGCGCTGGGTTCTGTTGACAGCGCGGGGTTCTGTTGACAGCGCTGGGTTCTGTTGACAGCGCTGGGTTCTGTTGACAGCGCTGGGTTCTGTTGACAGCGCTGGGTTCTGTTGACAGCGCTGGGTTCTTTTGACATCGCTGGGTTCCGTTGACAGTGCTGGGTTCCGTTGACAGTGCTGGGTTCCGTTGACAGCGCTGGGTTCCGTTGACAGCGCTGGGTTCTGTTGACAGCGCTGGGTTCTGTTGACAGCGCTGGGTTCTGTTGACAGCGCTGGGTTCTGTTGACAGCGCGGGGTTCTGTTGACAGCGCGGGGTTCTGTTGACAGCGCGGGGCGCCCTCTTGGACATTTCAGAAAGACACAGTTTTATCGCTGTCGGTCTAAAACTCTTGTCCAACGCTGAACCCTTTCTTCATTCTTAAAAAGCTTAAACAAACCAGTTGTGTATTTAAGAAAGAAAGCAGCTCTTTAATAACATTCATTTTTCTTGACAATAAAAGGTGACGGTTAAAGCCCGCAGTTTTTTTTATTTTTATATTTTGACACTTCATTGTTTAGTCACTCACTGACGGATCAAATTTTATGCAAAAATGTAAAATGAGGGAAAATGTTGTCACGTGTTTTTGCCAAACAGTGACCATTTCGCCCAGTTTTGTATTTTGTCTTTGAATTTGATTAATTCGTGCACACAGGCAGGTCCGTCTGGGCTCGGACCCCATGTCTGAAGAAACCCGGCTGCGGACACTGGCAGAAAGAACGTCTCAGCACGAGTGCACGGTGAGCTGAACCGTTCAGTTGCTACGACAGATGATGGACTTCTGCTTCAGTTAGAAGAACAACACATTTTGATGAGTTCCCAGGGGGTTCTGCTCGTTCCTTTACTTCAGTTATCGTTTGTCGTAGAACTGATTTTTTTGATCCTTGGCAGTTTTTTATTTTTTATTTTATCAACTTGTAATTAAACTTCACATTTACCGCAGGCGTTAATGGTTAATCATTAATTCCACACTGGGCGTAATAATCCCATAACACACTTCACATACGGGAGTTTCACCCTTAACAAAAATAGAAAGCTTCTTCTTTCAGGTGACTGATTATGTCACGTTGCCGTGGAAACACAGCGGACTCGGCCAAAGTGAACTCAGCTTTGAAGTATGGGTTCATGCGTGTCCCCAGAAAAGTTGTTTGACTAGTTGACAGAACTCTCACAGACACTTAACAGCACTTCCTTTCTCATCCCCTCTTGGTTCATGCTAACACACACACGGGGGTTATTTCTGTCCTCTTCAGGACTCTAGCTCTGACTTCCATTCATTCATGTAGCCTGACCCTGACCCTAACCCTGACCCTAACCCTGACCCTAACCCTGACCCTGACCCTGACCCTGACCACTGCTAGTACACAACTAACTCCAACCTAAACTCACACCGTAGTACTAACGCCTGACCCACAAATAGCGTTCCTCCTTTTTAGCACCAGGGTTTGGTCGTCAGAAGGACTAATGGTAAGTATGTACACCAGAAAAGGCCTTAAAGAGGTAAGAAAAATTAGGTAACCCCCCCCCCCCTCTGCCGCACACTCTTTGTTTTACAGCGTCATTTTTTTGTAATTTATGGGAACTCTTGTGTTTATGATGGGGTGAGCTGTCAAAGCATCTTAAGCGCCACTTTGGAATCCTGATTGATTGTTAGAAATGGGGGAAAAAGTTCATCAGCTCAGAGATACGAGTCATCGCTTCGTTACAGTACTGGATACCGTTCTTCCTGTTGCATGTCCGGTGTGTGTTGGAGATGACTCATCTACTACCAGCTCAATATTTATAAAACTGACAGAGTTATAGCCTTTCCTATACCCTCATCTAAAGCTGGGACATATTATGGTATGGAACTGTCTGTCCAAGCTCTAAATTGATAACCCTTTCACATAGAAATGTCAAACTGCACTGCAGGACACCTCACGGATGAGCGACTATTGATTTCAAGGTCATTTGGTCAAAGGTCAAGATCACAAGGGACCCCTTTGAGGAAATCTCGTCTACGCTGCAACTTGACATCCAGGAAACGCAGAAATGTCCAACCCTTTGTCCCTTACGTTGTCCCCATCTGTCAGCCATAAGACAGGACACAGTAAGGTGCAACTCCACAACTGCTTAGGATAGAAAATGTCATCAGACTTTGGCTGCACATGGGACCTTATGAACACTTCCACTAAAGAAATCTCAAGTGGTTCTGGTGAGGTCCACTTTTCTGATCACAAAATATTTGAATCAGCTCCTTTTCATGTTCTCGCACGTTCTTTGATTGAACTGTTGGACGACGTCATCGTCATTCGAACTGACCTTTCACCCCACCACAGTCCTAGTCCTTAGAGACACATGCAGTATGTTCAGGGTTGGCATGAGGGAATCCAAACTTGGGGTTTTGATTCGTCTGACAAGTTATCGAGGAGTGTATCGCGTACCATTGGTGGTGCTCTTGTTGTGTTTGCAAGAGCTTTGACCATGTGACCTTGAAGTAAATGGTCCCTTATCCATGAGGTCTCGTTGTACAGATCTAGTATAGAGCTGTATGAGTGGGTAAATGAGGCACAGATTGTTGTAAAGAGCTTTGAGCGTCTTGATGAGGGTTCTGGCTGGGTTCTCTGAACAATCCAGTAAACAAACATTAATTTTGTCATGTTCATCATTATTATCATCAGGTGAGTTCTAATATAAACATCTTACAGCCGTTTACAGCAGAAGCAGCGAGTAACGGTTAGAAGAAGCTCAGTAAGAAGCGTATTGCTGCCTCTTAAAGCTCTGTTTTGTGTTTCAGAATAAACAAACACTTGTGGCACCAGATGTTGCACCATATTCTGTGACCACCGTATATTGAGACTGTAGGGGGCGCTGTAACATTTTTACACCATACTTTGAAATATGTGATGAACACCATCATATTCTGTGACCGTCTATAATACTCATGATGTCTATAATAGTCAGATGTTACTTTTTATTCCTTAGAGGAAGTAAAGCGTCAGCAGAAACAGTTTGGCTCAAGTATTTAATGTTTTTCTATAAGTTGCAGTGTGGTCACAATATCTGATAAACGCCATCATATTCTGTGACCGTCTATATTTCCATAATAGTCGTGATATTTGAGATCAGATGTTACTTTTTATTTTTTTAGAGGAAGGAGAGAGTTGGCCTCTTTCCTTCAAATATCAGAAATTAACATCTGCCCACTAACATCATGACTATTATGGAAATATAGACGGTCATATAATAGGATAGCGTTTATCAGATATTTCAAAGTATTATGTAAAAATGCAACCACGCCCCCTACGGTCACAATATACAGTGGTCACGGAATATGGTGCAACACCCGTTTTAATTTCAAAGCAGCTGCCAGTTCGGCTGAGACGAACTGATCGTTCAAACCTTTATCCCGTTTGATGGTTTTAGGTCAAAGAAGAAGCTGAGAAAGTGGCCGAGGCCTTCGCTTCCCTAACGACCAAACTCTCCTCGACACGAGTTATTCGAGACGTCGGACAGGTATCCGTTTACCTTTTATTTATCTATTCTTCTAACGCTCATGTTTCAGTCATTTTGAATTGCAGATTATATGAAAAAAAAACTAAACGAAGTCTCTCCCAAACAAACCTTCAGCTACAACACGCAGAATGTTCAAATAGGTTTTCTTTAGCTGCTTATATGTTGTTGCAGTAAAAGGGTGAAAATGCCTTCAGACAGTGTCCAAACGGCGTTTTTTTTTATTTGTGCATACAAAATTTTAAAAACATTTTTGTATTTAAGCATTTTTTTACTTTGCTTGTGATCTAAACCCCAGTCCAGATCCATCAGATTAGTTTAACTCGTTTTCTTACCTTTAAAACGGTTCTGTTCATCGACCCGTTCAGAGAACGTGCTTACTCAGAGATCTGATTTTAAATGGTGGGCGGAGCCTGCTGAGGCAAACGACAAATCAGATCAGACTGTGGGTGGAGCAGATTGTTGACTCTTGTCTGTGTGATTATAGATTAGAAGACTATTTAGTTTCAGAGGAAACCTCGTGTACGGTAATACAGTATTTAGGGTTCAGTGGAGCATTAAAACTCGGTGAAGAAAAAATGGGTCAACACACGTTCCAGCTAAAAGGCTGGAGGACGAGGAATTTTCTGCTCGTCCACCATCGGGATGGGAAAAGGTTTGCCTTGATTGTAAAATAAATAAAAATCAAGTCTGGGCTGATTGGACTGATGCAAAGATGGAGGTTAGCTACTTTGAGGTAGTAGCAGAGGCGAAACGGTCGACAGGTGAGAAGGTGAGCTGGCTTCGAGGCTCAGTATTCACCAAACTGTATTATTTCTATTTCGGTAGACGGGGCGCTCGGCTCTGACGGGGCGGTGCGCCCCGCTTGTATAATGGTAGGGGAAACGCTGAATAAAAAACAAATTAAAAAGTGTAATATAAGTCAAGGAATCAGTCGATGGCATTAAAAATTAAAAACTCTGCTTCAAAATTGGCTCATCACCACAGAAACCCTGTAATATTTGTTATTTCTCTCTAAATGTCACGTTTTCGTGTCGTACGAGCACGTTAAAGTATTTTTTCTGACTTTTTCCAGCCCCCTGACGGAGTCCCATCCTTCCAGCGCTACACCAGTATTTCGTGGGAGCAGAAAGAACTGGCCCTCAAACGGTTTCAGCAGGCGGCTCGCCAGGTAAGACAAGAAAGTTTGAGCTAGACCGTGTTGGGGGGGCTACGTTTGACAAACTGTTTCTACAAACGCTGATTAGAACAAGGTCAGCCAAGTCCGAGTGTCCTGACCTCGAGTTCAGAGCGAGCGCTACGAAGAGACATCAGCAATAAAGACCGATACCTTAAATCACCGTGGCGACCAGATCCAGGTCCAGTCTGTATGTTTTAAACATGAAAGTACAAACCAGAGACACTTGATTCACGTGGACAGTTTTTATTTTGTTTTTTTACAGAAATTCTATTTTTTCTTCATCTTTATATGGAAAGTCAAATAAATATATAAATGAAAAAGTCCTTATTCCTCTATAAAACTTGTGTGTTTGTAAAATGAGATTCTAAAAGCAATAAGCTGAATTTATAGTAAACCGTCTTGGTTAATAAAATCAACAAACGGCGAAAAGATATATCAAAACTTGATCAAACAACTAAAACGTTGCTGGAAGAGTTGTATTTGTTAAATTTTGTTATGATCCTTTTGCTTCTTTCTGATGATTTTTGCTTTTTAATTATCCGTGTTTAAATATTGTCAAATAACTCCTGAAACTTTTCTCCGTCCTGCCTGGACTCTCTTCTTCACCTCTTCACCACACTCTCCATTTCTCTGGACAGTGGACCCCAAGTACTTGAAGTCATGCACCTTTGTGTCCTCCACCTCTCCAAGCTCTCTTCCACCTGTTCCCCGCTCCCGTTACACACAGAAAAGTAACTGCAGTGGACTGATCGGCTCCACGTTACCTCATCATGAGCTAACTGTTGCACCTGGACTCTGGTGAGATCATAAATAAGAACTCGTGGTCTGTCTCTTCTTGCAGATAGTGATCCGGTGTCGCATGAACCCGAGACTGGCCGCCTTAAAGACACTGACGGACAGCTTGAAGAACCCCCCGCCAGTGCAGAAAGGTTTGAAATGTCTACATTGTTAGCATGTTACCATAAGATTCCTGATCATATTTAAAAATAATGACTATAAATGTGGAGAAACTTTCTGTTTGTCACCTTTTTGTTCATTTCAGCTGAGACGCCCGTCATTAAACTTACCATGGACCCAATTTTTCCACGGTCTTTTACCATTGTCTCTGACGAGGTGGGTACTGCTCGCAGCTTCCATCTCTAAACCCGCACACATGCCAGGCTGCCCACAAAGCCTGGAGTTTAATTTGAGCTTTTAATAGGTCTTGACAAATAGGTAGAAATATATATATATTTCCACAATTTGTCCCCGTCGCCAACATATAAAAACCTGTATTCAGCAGGAAGAGTATTTTTACTTGTATGTAAAAGACTGATATAATGGAACAGTTTAATTAAGAATTTTAATTGAAATGTTTGAAACAAAACACGTTCTGTCGTAATTAAAAGGGATGTAGAAGAGAAAACTACTTTGTGGTCATAAATATCATTTAACTTGCGCTCAGAGATGTTTCTACATATTTTAGAAGTTACTAAACCTATGAGTATCTGTGCCGTAATTTTGTACCATATACAGTTTAATCTGCAACTGTACATAAATATTCATTTAGACAAAAGTAGGGATGCATGATATTATCGGCCGATATTAGCAATAAAGTTAAATATCGGACATGGGCCATTCCATCAAAACAACTCACCGATATAAAAGGCTTCTTGAATATGAAAATCTTGAAAATGTCTTGAATAAATTTGACATTAAACATAATCCAAGTTGAAGTGTTGCATCATTTTCAGCCTCCTTCCTGGCATCTGCATTTGGTAGCAGCCAAACCGACAAAGACCACGCAGAGAGTGATGTCGTATTTTAATTCCACAGCAGAGACAGCTGTGCAGTCTCTGTAAGGAGGTCTAGGGGAGAATATCTGTAATGGTGTCGATCATCGTCCAAATAAGTTTTAGCATGTCGGATATCGGCCAAAAATCCAATATCGTGCATCCCTAGACAAAAGATAGCTGAAAGTCCTTGAGTATCAGCTTCAACCGTTTTCTTTTATTAGAAGAAAAAAGTTCAAACATCAGAAGTAATAATTGTCATTGTGCTTTATAGAGCCTGACCGATATGGAAATGTTGGCTATCGCCAAAATTGTTTATTTAGCACAGCTGTTGGCGATCCTAAAGCTAATCCAATCAGATCCATGCTATAGTCTCACAGTCACACAGTCTTCCTAATGCGCGTTGTGCAAAAATATAAACTAAACGAAGAAATGCCCTTCCCTCTTTACTGTTGAAACAGTGTAAGTGCAGAAACGTGTTTTTTTTTAATTGTTTGCAGAGAAGTAAAGATTTTAAACAAACTATGCATTCCATTGAATACGCCAAAGATGACTGACACTGATGTATTTTATCTCGACGTTAGATTTATTGTTCTGGATAAAGTTTACAAGGCAATAGCCTATGTTGGGTTAGCTAAACGCTAGCTTGCTAACTTGAGAGACATGTAGCTCATGTCAAGCTGCGTAGAACATAATTTTAAAAAGTTCGAGCAGAAGAAGAAGAAAGAGCAGTACAGTGATGAGTCCAGCAGGGAAGTTTGTTGTAGGCCGTATTGTAGAGCCTAGCTATGGGTTTCAGGATTTCATTAGTAGTCTTCTTGATATTTCCAGGCTCCCGAGAATTTGGATGAATTTGAAGTGCCATTGGAGGTGAAGGTGACGAGACGCGTTCCTTTCTTGAAGCTTGAAGTACGTATTTACCACCGGACTTACTCTTTTGATATAAATAACTCCCGAATCACTGGGTTTGTACCAGAAGCTGCTCTGGACCTAACAACATAATCACATGGAACGAACAATTTATTGAAGGGCAGTGAACGCACCGCTCACACAGAGTCCTTCACAGAGACGGACAGCAAGATGTCCTCAGCTTCACTTGTAGTCGGGAAAGACGAGTCCCCTCAGAAACCAGCCTCAGTGTCCTTCCTTTATTTTTTAAATTCAATTATCCTTAGAGTTATTCTTTCAACTCTTTATGTCGCTTTAGGGTCAACTTCTGTTTTTATTTACCAGATTAAACAGCAAAAATATACAATTTTACATCAAAACCACAACAATAAATGAAATAAAATGCAGTTCACAGTAACAAGATGTTTTTAATGTTCCATCCATCATCCATCTGTATACATCCATCTGCATCCATCCTCCATCTGTATACATCCATCTGCATCCATCCTCCATCTGTCTACATCCATCTGCATCCATCATCCATCTGTCTACATCCATCATCCATCTGTCTACATCCATCTGCATCCATCATCCATCTGTCTACATCCATCTGCATCCATCATCCATCTGTCTACATCCATCTGCATCCATCTGTCTACATCCATCTGCATCCATCATCCAGCTGTATACATCATCCATCTGTCTACATCCATCTGCATCCATCATCCATCTGTCTATACATCATCATTCATCTGCATCCATCATCCATCTGTCTATACATCCATCATCCATCTGTCTATCTGTTATCTCTCTATCCATCTGTCTATCCATCTACCCTTCTTCCATCTATCATCATCTGTCTACCCATCCTTCATCTCTCTATCCATCATCCATCTGCATCCATCCTCCATCTCTCTATCCGTCTGTCTATTTTTCATCTGTTTATTCTCCATCTGTCTATCCCTCCTCATCTGTCTATCCATCCTCCATCTGTATCCATCATCTTCAAATTGTTTCTGAATCGGGTCGCGGGAGCAGCAACTTGAACATGGAGGCCCAGACATCTCTTTCCACAGCCACATCTTCTCGGAGGACTCTAAGGAGTTTCCAGTCCAGCCCAGAGACATAGTCTCTACAGCGTGTCCTCCCAGTTGGACATGGACACGTCCAGGGTCCACCCTTACCAGCTGTCTTAACCTCAACTGGCTCCTCTGGCTGTGGAGGAGCAGAGGTTCTACTTCGAGTCTCTCCAGGATAACTGAACTTCTCACCCTGTCTCTAAGGGAGAGTCCAGCTACCCTGTGGAGTAAAATCGTTTATACGGTTCGTATCTGCGATCTCATTCTTTCGGTCACTGTCAGAATACGTGATCATATGTGGAGGTAGGAATGTAGACTGCTTCACCACAACGGACTGGCACAATGCCTGCAATACTGCAAAAGCTGCACCAATCCGTCTGTCGATCTCAGGCTCCATTCCTCTCTCACTCGCCCACCTCCGTTCATGGCAGAATCTTACTGTTCAAATTCAAGAATCTTCATTATCCCCAAGGAGCAATTAGTTTCACAGTCAGTCGGCACGCAGAACCTCCGCACTAGACAAGACATGGAGACAGTAAAGTAACGGAACATAAATCATCACTGTTCACTGAGAAGCCTGAGCACTACAGGGATGAATGAGTTTTTCAGTCTGTTCGTTCTACATCTGGGCAGCAGATACCTGCATCCAGATGGAAGCAACCTGAACTCACCATGGAGTGATGATCAGGATCTGCCAGAATCAGCCTGGCCTTGTTCACTGACCTCATCTTGTGTAGGCTGTAACCGCTCCCACTGCCCTCCAAAACGAGCCCCGTCACTTTAACCTAACGGCAGCAGAAGTGTGAAACTAAGATTATCTCATGTTAAGAAAAGATGAAGTTATCACCATTTTGGTCAAACCTTGATCTCATGACATGCTCTGAGTTTGAGTTGGGAACGACTCTCAGCTACTACTAGTCCTGGGCGATATGTACCAAAATTAATATCTTAATCATTTTTTAAGATAAATCGCGATTTAAGTTATATATTTCTATATATTTTTTCTTTCTGTAAAGTAACAAAAATATATTTGAGTCAAAGCTTTGTCCCAATTGTCACACAGGCACTTTTATAGAACTACACGGATTTTCAAGTCTTACAGTGAGAGGTAGCACGACATTAATAAAGCAGTGGCTTATCATATCGCTAAAGCCGCTAACAAGATGGCTAACTTTAGCTATGTTGTTCCACAGTTGAGACTGAGGCCGTGTCTTTAGCGATATGATAAGCTGCTGCTTTATTACTGTTGCGCTACTTCTCACTTTTCCTACCCATTTATCGCATGATAAATGAAAATGAGGTGGATAATTTTAATTTATCTGCTTTATCGTTTCTTCGTGTCTCTCTCTTTCTATTGAAGACACCGGATGACAAAAGGATCAACTCCGGTGTTCTTCACTGACCCCCTCCCTTTCTCTTTTCTCTTTAAAATCCATTTTAACCGTCCAAAATCATGTTTTTGGATCATTAAAAGCAGCTAAGCTACGAGCTAAGCTAACAGGCCAACCTCAGGAAAAAACCTCCATCTTGTCGAAGCTCCAAAATTCACGGTTGAAACTCGTGTCTTTGTGTAAAAAGTTGCTTTTCTCTGCAAAAAGAAGCTGAGAACTTGTTTACTGACTTTTTTATTAAAAGCTTTGTGTGAAAAATGCTAAAGAGCTCAAACCACACCGAACGTCCGCCATTTTGAAAACCGAAGAGAGACAGCCCATGTCACGTCAAGGGGACTCCCTCCCATTTTTCTTAGAGACACGCTGCTCGCTCCCTCACTATCCATCCTTCAGTTCAAACAGTCTTATACTGCCATCCAGTGGTCAAAAAAAGGTACTACACACAAAACAAATTAAACATTTCTTCTTACATTTGACAATAATTACTAATTATTGTCAAATTTCAAACAATATCATTTATTGCGATAATTTCTAAAACAATTAATCACCCAGCAAAATGTGTAATCATGACAGGCCTACGTAAGGCACATCACGGCTAAATGAGTTTTGACCTGTGGTTTGTTTCAGGGAAGGAGGCTGAAGTCAGTCGGAGCTGCAGCTGCATCTTCACTTACAGCGCTGCTTTGAACGGTGCAAAAGGGTCGTAGTGCCGACCTTTTGTCGGGACTTGTTTTCTGCATCGTCTCCAGAAAACATTTTTCTGCTGCTCATCTGACAATTTAAATCCGAACCATCTCCAAATAACAGCCACGGTTTTTCTTTTTGCTGAGCAGCTAAGCTGCTCTTTGATATCCTCTCCTTTGTTTACTTGATGTGCTAAACTTCCCTCCACCGGGGGGAGTATTCAGTGAGGGAGGAGGAGTGGCTGCATGCAGTTGGCAGCGCAGACGTGACACAAAGAACTACACTGATTTTCAAGTCTAATAATACTCCATGGTTGTGGTAGAGCCATTTTAGCTCTCTTACGTTAAAAAACTTGCGATACATCGCCCAGCCCTAGCTACTACCAAGTCAATCGGAGCTGCGACATAAAACTAAAAATGTTTTTTGTGTGTGTGTTCCAAGAGTTGGAAAGGTTGAAGAGGCAGGAAATAGAAATAAGCTTTTTCAACAGTAGGAGCCGAATTAATGTCAAGCTGGAGAAAGATACAGTTTGAAACGTAAGAGTTTGTAAATATCGGATCTTTTCAGACGTGACCGTGTTTCACATCAACGTGAAGCCCCTAACGTGTAGCTTCGTTTTCCCAGGACATTCTGAACACGCTTCGAAGCTCCTCGCTCCTCGCTCCTCGCTCCATCTTCACATGGGTTCACCTCCTGAGTTTTAACGTTCCAGGCGTGTTCTCTGTTCTCCAGGTTCCCCAGCGCTACAAGTTGATGGGTTACGAACCCGTGTCGTCCTTGGATGCATTTGAGAACTACATCCCTGCAACTCTGGCCAGGCCTCTTCGCTCTGGACCGCCGGTAAACAATCCGCATCCGCACCGAGGATTTTATTTAATATTTACTGTGAAACTGTTTTGAATAATTTCTGTACTATTGAGCGCACCTGAATATAAGCCGCACCCACTAAATTAAAAAGTATACATATTTAAAAAATGTACATACATAAGCTGAACTTGCCTACAAGCCACAGGTGTCCACATTGTTTTGCGAGAGATGCACAGTTCTTGTAGATCAAAATCCAACCACCAGATGTTTTATAGACTTTATTTTACTGTAAAAAGACAGAGTGAACCCCACAGGTCGTCATGACAACTCCCTCCCTCCCTCATAGTTACTGTACTCACTTTTCAGGAAGAGTTGGAGCCCGTCGACTTGAGAAGAGCGGAGCTGAAATTAGAAGATGAAGACAAGTTCTCCTTCAAAGCTCCTGACGCTCTACTGAGACCGTTCCCAGCAAACCCTCTCAGGATCTTTGTAATCTGATTACCTCTTTGTTAAATCGAACGCTCCTCGACACGTTACGAACATGTTTTACTCTCATGTTGTGCTTTAGAACCCAGCCCCGGGTCTTCAAACCTACAAACCAACACCTAAATACCTCGAGTGCGATCCAGACTTCCACTTCTGCCCTATACCCAAGTAACACCACACAACTATCTTAAACTCTCCCTGACCTTGAACACGTTCATTCTGTTGCTTCCTTTTGTGCAGGTACAAGTACCCTGAACCCGAGACGAGCACCTCGAGGAGAGTGAGGACAGTTCAGACGTTCCTTGATCTGGAGGTAATTTCCTTCCAAGGTTTGCAGTTTCTTTTAGTCAAACCAATCCACCTTGTTCCTGGGGCTCTACTGTCTAAATGATTATGGGTACAACTTCCTGTCAGACAGGAAAATGTCTAACTATGCTAGTAGATGTAGCTAAACATGCTAGTAGATGTAGCTAAACATGCTAGTAGATGTAGCTAAACATGCTAGCTAAATATGTTAGTAGATGTAGCTAAACATACTAGTAGATGTAGCTAAACATACTAGTAGATGTAGCTAAACAT